TAGTGATATATTTACCTAATTTCCGTTCCATTTTTTTTGATGATGTAAAATATTATTATTGAAATATTTCCTTTTCATTTTTAATTTCCGTTCCATTTTTTATTTTCCTTTACTATTTTTTAAAATATAAATGTATTATTGATGATGATTTGAAATAAGAAGTCATTAAGGCTTTTTATATAAGAACCTTTTACCAAGGATCTTGTGGTCCACTAGTACTTGGTTGTTTTCTTATGTGGGAGGTGAATGGTTCAAGCTTCATTGGAGGTGATTATCCCTTCACTTAGCCTTTTAGCTTCGCTTATTTTAAGCTACTAATAAGCTAAATAAACTCCTAGCTTCCTAACTTTTTTTCCATCTTTGTTTAGCTCCGAGCTTATAGCTTTTCAGCTTTCAGCTCCTTTTCGACTTTCAGCTTCTAACTTATACCTTTTCAGCTAGGTTTGCCAAACAAAGCCTATGTTTGGAAGAGGAGCATTGCTCCCTCTTATAAAGAGAGCTCCTCCTTCCAAACATTTTTGATGTATGATCAAATTGATCCCACATCATTTACAAAGGGGAGCCGGTGAGCCCGTGGCTCCCCTTTGTCTTTTTATTTATTTATTTATTTATTTATTTTTTATTTTTTATTTTTTATTATTTTAACTTTAATTTTATTTTGTATATAGTTTTGTTTTGATTAATTATTATATTTATTAAATATTATTTTTGTTCCAATTTTATTTTATTATTACATTATTACATAATAATAATAATAATAATAATAATAATAATAATAATAATAATAATAATTTTCTTTTAGACAATTTTCTATTGTGTAGCCAAACATTAAAAATAAAATGTTTTATAAATAATAACTCATTTTCTAGAAATCGTTTTCCTACTTTTCAAACGATAATTATTAGATAATTGTCTTGTTTGATTATTGACAAATTCGCCAAAATTTTATCAAATTCACAATTTTAACATTTAGTCTTTAATCAAAACACCAAAAATATTATTTAATAACTCAACAATTTGCTCCAAACTTCTAAAAATTAAAACAATACATATACATTTTGGTTTAATCTTTCTCAAACCCCCATAATAATAAATAATAAATAATAAAAAAAAAACTAAAATAAGAAGCCATTAAGTTAAGGCTTCTTAAATAAGAACATTTTGGCTTCTCAATACTTGCCCACATTGATCGGCAAGCAATTATGTCAATTATGTTTGGAATTGTATAGAGGAACTCAAGAGCTCATCTTTCCAAACATTTTCGATGTGGGATCAAAAGAAGAGCCTGTGGCTCCCCCTTTGTCTTTTTTTTTTTTTTTTTAAATTTTATTTTATTTTGTATATAATTTTGTTTTGATTATTATATTATTGTTATTATTATTATTGTAATTTTATTTTATTATTACATATTGCATAATAATAATAATAATAATAATAATAATAATAATAATAATAATAATAATAATAATAATAATAATAATAATAATATAAATTTTCTTTTAGACAATTTTCTGTTGTGCAGCCAAACATTAAGAAGAAAAATATCTCTGAAAAATAAAAATAAAAGGAATAAGGGTCAAATAGACCACTGAACTACACAAGAAAATGCAATTGAGCCACTCAACTTAAAAACATTGCAATTGACTCCTTAAATCAACCAATTTCATGTAATCCTACCAATTTGCAGGTTGATTCACTTAAAAACCGGTTACCTTGTTACATGTAAGCCTATGTGGATTTTTATTATGTTTTTATTTTGTTATTTAACATATATATTCATCAACGATAACAAATAGCGTTGAAACCCTACATCCACAGCGGCGGTAATGGTTGACAACGACAGAGGCAAGAGCTACAACAACGACAGAGGCAAGGCTTCCTTTTCGATTATGCAAGCAACTCAATTAATGGAAGTAGAAGCTTTAATACCAACTCAGCGATGACGAAAATAGGCAACAATATAATGAGCTTATAGTAGTACACTGGGCGGCAATTTGTTGCCAATTCAGTTTCAAAAGCGAAATAAAATAAAATTATTCTAAACCCAGAAAAAAAAAAAAAAGATTATCCTTGAAGATGGAGTAGGGATGTACAACGATTATAAGGCAGTGAGTTTTTCCTTCACCAGTAATGGCAGAGAAAAGAAAAAACAATGAACATGAAGATGGCTGTTGGAAGAAGTTGAGACAAAAAAACAAACAAAAAATGTAGAAGGCTATGGTATGATTTGCATAAGAAATTAAATTTAGACATCAAATAAATGAGGCCAAAGCCCAATCCCTACTGTTATAGTGCTATGGTGTTTTTGGCAATTTTGTAGCTATGTTTTTCCTTCTCACCCGAGTTCAAATGGGGTTGCCGAAGTTAGCATCACAAAGTCAGAATATGCTATTTCATTCTTTGACAAAAGCAAAGACATTTTTTTTTCTGGCAAGCTATGAAACAAAATAAGATGTGAGGTCTCATGGAAAACTTGTTAATGATATTGATTTGAGTTTCATGTCGCCAGAAGATGGGTATGAGTATTTGATGTCAACGACATCTCGGGAAGGAAGAAGAAAAGGGTAAAAAAAATATAAAAATGATTATTAATATCCACCTAACACGCCATGTCAATGTTTACCTGCATTACTAGGAGGCTACTTGCTATTTGAAAAAATTGCAAGATTTTGAATGTTTAATGGTCTAATTATAGTTTTTTAAGGGAGCATGTGGTTCCCCTTTGTCATTTTTTTATTTTAATTTTATTTTGTATATAATTTTGTTTTGATTATTATTATATTATTAATATTAATATTATTATTATTATTATTATTATTATTATTATTATTATTATTGTAGTTTTATTTTATTATTACATAATAATAATAATAATAATAATAATAATAATATAAAATTTCTTTTAAACAATTTTCTGCTGTGCAGCCAAACATTAAAAAGAAGAATATTTTCTGAAAAATAACTCATTTTTCATAAATTATTTTCCTACTTTCCAAACGAACTTTAATATCTATACAATTAATTTTTTAGATTATAAGGAAGGGGAACACCCAATATTACATAGTTGAGGCATCCACTTACGCCAAATGGGAACACCAAATTTATCTTCTTCTAAAATCTAAATAAGACGATCGGGGGGCAGGGTAGATTGTTGTTCCCCTCTTATTGACAAAAAAGCTTCCTTCAGTAATGGCCTCGATGATTGTCTTGGAGTCGCATTCAAATCACACTTGTTTCCAGCCCAATTCCCTTGCTAGGAGAATCCCCTTCAGGAGGCCCCATCTCTGCGGAACTGGTTCCTATCCCATGCGTAAAACCCAGCAACCAGTCCCCTTCCTCATTCCTTGCAAGACCACCACAACTGGCTTTGTTATATGTGGGATCATTTTGATCCATCTAGCAGGTGGTCTTACCCATTTGATCAGTTTCCACTCGCTAGAGGCCAGACCGAGCTCAGTTTTGTTTGCCCTCTTATAGGTTTTGTTAATCTTTGTTCTCTGTGCCTGAATCAAGTAGCATTTTTGGCCAACTCCCATTCTTTTTCCATTAAAAATCCTCGATCTCGTTCCTCCATTTCCAGATCCACCAAGATATTAGGGCAAAGAGGATGCTGTTGACACAGAGCTGAAAATCCTCTTATTCCCTCGTCAAACCATTCTTCAAAGGGCTTATCTCTCGTTCATTGAAGCATACCTGGCAACATTGCTTCTCAAACTGGTCTGGCCTCAGAGCACCATCAGATGAGATGATGTGCTCTATAGATTCCGCAGTGTTATTACACAAATCACAGTTGCTGCAGTTGGTGAAGCCCTCTTGAATCTATTCATGTTTAATTTGTCATTAGCCTATCTTGTTTCGCAAGCCAGAGGTACGTGTGTATGCGGCTTGGAACTCTGAGGGGGTCTCCGATCCTGATCCGTAATCAATGAGTATGCAGATGATACAGTGAATTTTCCAGCCTTCTCCCTTCCCCAACCGAAAGTATCCGATTGCTCATCTTCTTCTACTAGAATGATTGTTGACAACTGATCACAGATATCTTCTGGAAGCACAGCCTCAAGTTTAGCCCAGTCCCATCCTTGCATGTTGATCCAGTAGTCAGCAACTGTGGCATATATATAGGTCCGGTAGCGAGAGGGATTTTCCAAACCAGAACCGGGTGGATTTTCCATTCCTCACTATCCTTTTTGTGCCTTCTTTGAGAGTCAGGACTGTTTTCAATATGCCTCTCCATGCATTAGACATGGAGTGCTTTGGCAACCAGGTAGAGGGGTACGGTCTGGGTTGTGAGCTGCATATTTCAATCTCATCATGGTTGCCCAAAGGGAATCATCGCCAGTTTGGAGCTTCCACCCTAGTTTGGTTCATCGCTTCCAGCTTCAGAATACCAAGGCCTCCCAGTTCTTTGCCAAAATATTCCACCAAATACAATGGCAATTTATATAATGGACCAGGGTCCACATAACATTATAGACCCTAGATCAAAACGACGAGGTACAAAATTTTATAACACAATACACAAAAAATCACAATACAAACACATGCTATATATTTACTTATTTTTCAAATCTGATTTAGGTACATAATTTGTGTTCATAGACACAAAATTTTACAACACAAGACACATAAATTTATAACATAAGACACAATTTACTAATTTGTTTCAGAATTCATACTCTTAAGGTACAAGACACAAAAAATTCACAACATAAGACATACACTGTGGACAGTGAACCCTAGTCCATGGATTGCAAATACAATTGAATACATGTTAATTTCAATCTATACATTGATATGTAATTAGTGTTATAATTATTATATCAAGAAAAAAAATAGAGAACTCTTGGCCAGTTGGCCTTATAGGAATCATTTTCAACCGTGTCTGGATTCTTATACAAGAAACATGTCCATCATTTTAACCAATATTGTCTCATGTGAATGTTAGAGGAGAAACTGATGTTTACACAGACTATATGTAGCAGAAAAGAAGAAAACAGATATTAGTACAAGAACTGGAATAACCAAAACTGCCCTATTTCATAAACCATAATCATGGAAGCCTTCAACTAAGCATCAAATATAATACACTGTACACACCACCACAAAGCTCATCTAATTGTCTTCTATAAACCTTTCTCAACTAATCGCAAAGATTGACAACTTATTCTACTAGATTGGCTCGGAAGCGCTAAATATTCACCAACTAAAAGATCACATACGTATAGCACTTTATTGAGAAATGCGTGATGGACTAATGCTTTCTTGGAGGTGAATTCGCCCTTTGATGCATTATTGAAATCCTGCTGGAAAGAGTGGCTTGATAAGGAGAAAAAATTGCACCCAAGGGGGCTCAACACGGGGTTATAAAACAAGACAAAAATTATATTGAATAAAAATGAGTCACCTAAGCTCTTGGATAGCGTGATCGTCCTTTCTTCTTCAAAAACTCAGGGATCTCGACTGAACTGCCATCCATGAATGATGCTGGCCGTCGATTGATTCCGATGGAAGCATCTCCCGGTGCTAGCTGATTTGCCTATATTTCAATTTTCAATGCAGGCTAATAAGTCAATGTCATAGTTTGTATGCCATGCCATGCCATGTTTTTTTAAAACACAAAAACAATTACCTGGAGGGGCTTGTCATCACCTTCTTGCCGTTTGAATCCAGTGGCAATTAAAGTAATACTAACCTGAGTTATATTAGGCAATGAGACAAAAATAAAGCAAAGTTGCATGTTAAGCAAATATAGGGGAAAAGGGTAAGGACCACACTCAATCTTGCTGCAGTGGATCTGAGAGAGTCGGGGGTTTGTTGTTTGAGTGCATATATTACATGTAGAGATTTCTACACCAACCAACCGTAAAAACACACTTTCGTTTATTATTTATATTCTTTATAATAAATAACCAACCATGAAAAACGCTCTATCAGTAGCTTGTACCTATGCGTCTAAAAATTATCTTCCTCCCCACTTAATGCAACTTCACAAGGACAAATACAGAAAAAGGTGTTTAGCTGAGTAAAGCTACATTAATTGAATGTTCTACCATGTTGAGTTGTAGCCTTGCTGGATAAAATTGCATATTTCTTGTCTGAAGTCATGTCACTTGATAAACAGCCAAATTCTCTCATTAATCTCTTAATCCAACGCAAACCGTACACTTGGAAACCAATCATTTTCAAGCACGTGGGAAAAGCAAACAATGATTGCTTATTGTGTTGAGGAAATACATACCTGACCACTTATTGAGGGATCGATAACAGCTCCAAAAATTAAGTTCGCACTTGGATCAACAAGGTCATATATGACCTCTGCTGCAGCGTTTACCTAATAAAAGTTCACAGCCCCCATCATAAGAAAGTGGACGTGAGATTCAAATAAAGGACAATTACCGATTCTGCAATGTCCTAACAGATATGAATATAAGTATGAAAAGTAATGTTTTCAAGAATCCAACAATGACACTAAAACCCCTAAGTTTGACAGGCTAAGCGAGGCCTCCTAGACTTATAATGAGTTTGATGGGTGAAAAATGGGGGAAAGATAATGAGAGGAAAGGAGATAAGGTAGAAAAATACTATTTTCCCTTGGTTGGGTTGGAAGGAAAATGGAAGGTAAAGAAATAAGGGGGAAATGAGGGAGAAAATATCCCTCCATCCCATCAAAATAGCTTCCCCTCCAAAATGAGGGGAAATTTTCTCTTCATCTTTCGCCCTCAATCCATGCATCAGACCTATTTCTCACTCCTCTCTCTCCCTTTCCTCCCATCCAAACGCAAATTTTCATCCCTATTTCCACTCTTCATTTTCCTTACCCTCCTATTTTTTCTTCCCACTTTCTACCCATCCAAACACAAAATTAAGTTCCAGAGTTCAGACTTCAGACCACCTACCCCCCACCGGTATGCCAAAAAAGAAAAAGGAATCCAACAAGGACTATAAACACAAAAACAAATGGTATCAGGATTGGTGGAAAAGTCATATATACCTAGAAAAATAATATAAAATCAGTCATGTTTTGCTTAAAATAATAATACAGAACTGTATTAATTTCTGGGTAATGCATTGCCAAAAGTTTTAACATGAACTATATGAAAAGGCAAAATGAAAATGAAACAATAACAATCCGTTTGGTTGGAGGGAATTAGAATTCCACTACCACCTAATTCGAAGGCAAGCAAATTCCTTCATTTGGTTCGGAATTGCAATTCCCTCATTTTCACGGAATTAGAATCCCATGCCTCCCCCTGGTTTTTTCAATTCCATAGTGCATGGGAAGAAAAATAGATACCCTTGAGACAAAATTACCCTTCTCTTTTCTAACCTAAAATTGATGTTTCATTTTCACGAAGTTAGAATCCCATGCCTCCCCTAGTATTATCTCAACTTGCATGGTTAAGTAAATTTTGGGAGCTATTAAATATGTTCTAGTGATACAAGTTTATATCCAAAGTGAACAATCAATCTAAAAAATGTGGGCATGTTCCAAATAACAACTGCATTGCATTATAGTTTTGGCACAAATTTACTTATCATTTAAGATTAATAATAATAATAATAATAATAATAATAATAATAAGTATTGACATTTTGGTCTTTATACTACTTATTCCGTTTCAATTCCCATGGATACCAAACACTCGAAATTCCCAATAATTCTATTCCTGCAAACCAAACACTAAGATTTAAATTCCCACACTATTCATCTCCCATGGAATTGCAATTCCTTCCCCCCAAATTCCCTCCTTGCGACCAAACGCCCCGTAAAAGAAAGAAGTTGGCATAGAACGATGGCAGATATGATTTAGTGCTAGTGGAGATAAGGAAAAATGATTGAAATGTGACCAAACAAATATGTATTTCCAAAATTAGGATGCTGTTGAAAGTTGGACAAAATTAGGAAAAGGACATTTGGGAAATGCGTTTTATATTAATTCTGGTCAAACACAAACGCAAATGGAACTTGCGTTTGTTTTTTTTTTTTTAAATCTCGCCGGAGTAATTGTCATGTCGAAGATTGCGGAGACGCAGAAGAAGACCGCATGGAGTACGTAGGAGGAGCTGTTGTTGGCGTTTTTCGTGAAGCGGCACGGGCTCAAGGACTGAGACTCCGTGGCTATGGAGCTTCGGAACCGGAGCTCTTTGCCAGCCCTCCTCACCGCTCAAATTTGCAAAGAGAAATACCGCGACCTCCAATGTCGTTTCACCAATAGCAATACGATTGTCGAGGAAGACGAAGGTGGAGGCGGCAGCGACGTCGTTATTCCCTGGCTCGAGGACTTGCGGCAGCTCCGAGTCGCGGAGCTCAAACAACCTCTTGATCAAGTAAATGAATCTCTCTGTGATTTTTTTTTTGAAAAAAATTTTACGTAGAAAAGTTTTTTGTTTACGGAGCTGACATAGAGATTTGATCTGAAAGGGTCTTTGAAGTTGAAAGTGAAGCGGATGGAGGAGGGGAGAGAGCAGAGCATGAAGGAGAGGCAGGAAATGGCCATGAAGCCAGATTTGGAGGATGGTAGAAAGGAGAATTCGGAAAACCAGCGAAGGAGAAGCCGGCGCCGGAGACCAAGATTAAGGAAAAAAAAAAAAAACAAACACAAGTGGGACTTGCAAGTCCCATTTGCGTTTGTTGTTTCACTAGTTCTGACATCAAACGCATTTCCCAAATGTCCTTTTCCTAATTTTGTCCAACTTTCAACAGCGTCCTAATTTTGGAAATACATATTTGTTTGGTCACATTTCAGTCATTTTTCCTGCATCATAAGCATGGGTCTTTTGATTGCATAATGGTACAAGATGAAAACAAAGGTTCCTCGTGACCCTTGCCATCCATTTTTGTTAACCCAATTTTATCAAACCTTTGATATCTAAGTTATTTTGTCCATTTAAAATTTTCCAGCACTACATGTGCAATAGGGGTGATATGCAAGATTTATGCTCCCAAAGCTTTTTGCACCATCAGTAAATTGTGTCGTGTTGTTTTGAGGGTAAAATGAATGTAATGTTCAAAACATGCCATAAAAAGAAAGATATGAGATCAGAAAGGGTGTGGGAGGTGGGAAGGGGGAGTACCTCAAACAATGTCAAGTCAGTCCCACCAGTTATATTCCACACAATTCCAGTAGCCCTCTCAATACCAATATCTAATAATGGAGACTGAATGGCATTTAAAGCAGCATCTCTGGCTCTGGTCTTCCCTGCATAACAACAAGAGAGTGTCAATTTTAGTTGGCATCAACACTAGAGAAAATAACTATTTTGTTAGAGTCGGATTGTAACAAGGTAACTCTTACATATTTCATTTCCTCATAAGGATTGAATATAGGCATAATGTCAATATAGACAAATATATTTAGAAGATTGTAACTAATTTAAAATCTAAATGAATACATTCAAATTTAATGCAGAGTAGGACATAAGAACAATGACTCTATTCAAGCTTTAGGCGGCAAGGCAGCAATTGTATTCTGCTGATTAATGAATTAAGGTATCTGAGCTTTGTGAACATACCTGTTGCAGTTCCTATCCCCATTAATGAGGAACCAGCACTTTCCATAATAGCACGTACATCGGCAAAATCTACGTTCACCAATCCCGGAATCTGCAATTTGTGCAGCTCATTTAGGAATGACAGAAAATGGAAATTCAACCATCTAAAAGTTGCATGTATTGGTAAAGAAAATATATTAATTCATCAAAGAAATACATCAAAATTTCTAACAATGCAACACTTTCCTGGCATTTGTTGCAATATATGGAAATTTCTAAAATTCTTTTTACTAACACCTTTTTCTATAAATTTTTTTTTTTTTTTAAAAAAAAAAAGTAAGGTTATTTTGGTCATATCAACTTGGTTGGTAAAAGGCAATGTGACAAATATGCTCCCCACCCCCCCCCCCCCCCCCCCTTTTTTTTTTCTTTTGTTTTGGCAAAAAGGCATTGTATAAGCTCCCATATATATGTGTGTTTGTGCACACACACACGTGTATGTATGCATGTTCATGTTTGAATTCAAAAGCATTTAGATTAAATGATATAACTCCAAAAAGACTATCTATTGCACTTTATGAATGACAACACTAGAGCCATCTGCATAAAATACAAGTTTGAGGTCTTTTTGACTTTTTGTCCTTTAGAAGTTATGTTTACGTTTAACAAGAAGTCAGCACTCAAGTAGCTAATTTTTATTTTTACTCCAAAGAAAGACTAACGAGCACATATTGTGCTTTTACAAAACGTTGTATTTTTATCAAAAGTAATGAATACTGTGACCAGGAATAGTAGTCTTAAAAGAACTAAGACCACTACTAAACAGAATGACACAAGAAGCCTCCACTCACTACAACAAAAGAAATAAAATAAACAGAAAGCAGTCTGAGTGTCATAACTCGTAGACTCGTAGTTCAACAATGCTATGCAGTGTAGAAACCCCACTGAGGAAAACAAGAGGTCAGGATAATAATAAACAAGGGGAAACTGTCATTTCAAAACTTAGTTATGTGATATTGTATTACATACCGAAATCATCATGGTGACCAAATTAGTCCCCAAATTGGTCCCTTACCTAGAGAACCCATTACCTCGTTAACAGCAATGTATGAAAACCTAATTTGTGAGAAAATTTTTATTAAAAAAAAAATCCCAATGGTAATGACCTACAATTGAAGCTATTGAAGGCCATTTGTCCAGACCTCTTTCATGCCATTAAAGCTGCTTCTACTTCCTCCAACTCTGCAACTCTCAGAGCCATTGTTCCTCACTTAAGTTCCCATTCACCAACCCCACCCTTTCTACTGTCCTGAAATTCGAGCCTAAATTTCATTTTCATTAACCTTAGGGGAGGAGGTACACATGCATCAAATATCTGCTCCCAGTCAAACCCCGTCCACTTATATAGTTATTTCTTCCCTTCAATATCCAAAAATCTCACTGATAATGAACATTAGAAACCAAAATATCTTCTGAATATATTAAACCCAAAAAACAATAAACATTATAGTTATACTGAACTCAAGAATATCTGAGTTCACAGTTATTTCACTTTCTCTTTCATTAGGAAGATAATGGATTTTGTAAGTTGGGACCAATTTGCAACTATAGGTTACAGCTAGGGACTAATATGGTCACCGTGACAATTTAGGGATGTAAATAACTATACCCCATAGGCCATAACTACTTCCTAATAACAATAATAATACCCTGTAATAGTAATAGTGGAGAATATAACCCCACTAAGTAGTGAAATTCATAGCAATGACAGTCAATTTCAAGAACAAAAATCTAGCCAGGGACGGGGAGTATCATTAAAAAATGTTCCAACATCCATACCGTTATTATATCAGAGATACCACGAACACCTTGTCGTAAAATATCATCAGCCAGATTAAATGCTTCTGTTACTGGGGTAGATGGGGAAACAGCAGTCAACAACTTGTCATTGGGGATGACAATCAGAGTATCAACATTTTCTCTTAAAGCTGCAATTCCTTCTTGGGCTTGAACTGCTCTTCTTCGCCCTTCAAATGAAAAGGGGGTTGTGACAATACCAACAGTCAAGATACCCATTGATTTTGCAGTTCCTGCTATTACAGGAGCTGCTCCAGTCCCTGTTCCACCCCCCATTCCAGCCTGCACATAATAGTTGAAGTCCTATATGAGTGAGAGAGAAGAGAAAAGCAACTAATTCCAGATGGAATCACGATCATTATTCTTCAAATTTAAATGCTATCCTGGCAAGACAAGTTCAAATCTTTTGGATAGTATGAATATGATATTATGTGTTTAGTTGGTCCAGCTTACACACACAAAACACATATATCTCAGAGGTTCTGCATAATAAAGACAATAAAACTATAATGAGATGGAATATATATGCACATCTGGCTTACATACTGATATTCAGAGGAAAAGTTAACAGGGATTATACTCTAAACAATTACAAAAGTGCTCATGAATTAAAATATTTTAGATACAGAAATTGAACTTACAGTCACAAAGACCATATCTGCACCATAAACTGCTTCCTCAATTGCCTCCTTGCTTTCCTTGGCAGCATTCGTACCAATATCTGGATTCCCACCAGCACCAAGTCCTCTAGTAAGCTCCTGACCAATTTGCAACCGGTGCTGGGGAAACACGGGCGACATCCTCATAGCTTGTATATCAGTATTAACAATCCAGAATTCCACCCCCTTCATTGAACTCTCTATCATCCGATTCACTGCATTGGAACCCCCACCACCAACTCCAACAACCTTAATCTTAGCCTCATTGAAATTGTTCACACTAGACGAATCTTTTGAGCTCTCTGTGACATTTTCAATGCCACTTTCCTGTCTTGGGGTCATCATTGTACTGTTCCCCTCACCTCTAAGCATTGAAATCTCTGGATGCAGGTTCAGAAACGGATCTTTACTCTGATACTGATTTGCACTATGGGCATTGGCTGAATTATTGGAATTGGCAGAACACTTAAGCAGAGACCAATTCAAACCACCCCTTCTATTGACACTCAAACTCAAAGATCCGTTCTTTTCATTGAGCATTTTCACAGGGCTAACTCTCCCCCCAATAACAGTCAGTACCCCCCTCGGGCACCAAGTATCCGAAGTCATAAAGTAAGTTGGAGTACAAATAGCCATACCAGATTACCAGACAAAATACCCAATTCCAAAATTTAGATTTTATATAATAATGTTCAAGAAAATACGCATTCACCCTTAATTCTGTTCTCCAAGATTGTCCTGAATGTTGAGCAAGAGTAAAACCAAACAGACTATTAAATGACTAGTATCACAGTAATTCTCAAAGAAACTTATAACGGCAGAAAATGTAGCAGAAAGAGAAAAGGTAAACCTAGAACATCTATCGAGTGCAGAAAGAGAAATAGAGAATGGCACCTGGATTGTTGAAGAGAGAGAGAGAGAGAGGCTAAGAATTCGTGGGCTTGGGAACAGCAAGAGCGATCCTTGTGAGCATAAACGGAAGGGTAAGCTGCATAGGCCAGTCAAGGTGTAGATTGTAGAGAGTAGAGCAAGGGATCCTATTCCTCCAAATGTTATCATTTTTCATTTCACCCAACAATATCAAATTATCAAATAAAATACCTAAAAATAGTTTTTTTTATTTAATTTTATTTTTTATCCTAAATTTATATGTGTCAGTTCATTTTTTATTTTTTTTCTTAAATATCCTCTTTAATTGTGGCATGATTATTTTTTATCTTCTATCAACAAAATCGTTTAAATGACGTTAAATACAAGAATATTTTGGTCTATTAGTTCTAAGTGTTAAGTCCTTTTTTTATCCTAAATTTATCTATGTTGTTTCACATTTATTCTTCTTCTTTTTTTTTTCAAAACATCCTCGTTGGTACTAGCATTATTGTGGCATGACTTTTTTGTCATCAGTCAACAAATATATTTAAATGACATTAAAAATGACGTTATTAACCACTAAAAATCCTCTTTTTTTTTCTTCTTCTTAGTAATAAAATTGTTATCAATACATAAGTCTATCGCAATATCTAAAAAAGTGCAATTGAACAAACCAAGAGTCTATTTCATGGTAAACCTTAAGTTTAGTGCATAAGTCTACTTTATAAAAATCCACAAGACTTGTGGTACTATTACCAAGAACAAATAATGAGGATTTTGAGTGGTTAATAACATCATTTTTAATGTCATTTAAACATATTTGTTGAAGATGACAAAAAAAAAAAAAAAAAAAAAAAAAAAAAAAAAAAAAAAAAAAAAAGGATATCATGCCACAATAATGTTAGGACCAGAAGGATATTTTGAAAAAAAAGAAAAAAAAAAACTAAAAGTAAAATGACACATATAAATCTAGGACGTAAATAGAAAAAGACCTAACACTTAGAACTAAATAGACCAAAATGTTCTTGTATTTAACGTCATTTAAATGCTTTTATTGACGAAGGACAAAAAATGATCATGACACAATAATACTAGGACCAAACATGAATGTTTTGACAAAAAAAAAATAATAAAAGACTAAAAGTGAACTGACACATATAAATATATGACCAAAAAATAAAATTAACTTTATTATCACATAATACATTTATACACTACCCTCAACGTTTTCATTATATTAATTATTGATAAAAATATTGTGTCTTAAAAGAGGGACTAAGTAGATAAAACATAATTCTCATATTTAAAAATACGTCCGATTTGATTTACCTTTCCACCCCACTCTTACATAAAAGCAGGATCCCAAAAAATGTTGGGTAACAACTTACTTCCAGTTAACCCAACAAATTTGGTCAATACACCACTTCGCGAGTTGTTATACCATGGACCAGGGTCCATCTTGTACTGTGGACATTGATCCTAAACAATGTATAAATTGTGTATTTTTAATATTGAAATTGTGAACTTTTAAAATATAAATTGTGTTTCTAAGTCAAAACACATAATAATCATCAAATCCTAATTTGTTAATATTGTGTGACTACAATATTTGAAAAGAACTTGTGAATACAAAACAAAAGAGCAAATACCAATTTTGGTCCCACGAGTATTAGCAAAATGACAGTTTTAGTCCACATGTTTAATTCCTACCAATTTTCATCCACGACTATTACTTTAGTACCAATTTTCATCCACGACTATTGTTTTAGTGCCAAAATTCATCACGCCAATCACACATTTGTTTAAAACATGTCGAAATATGAAATTATTAAGGGTATTTTCGTCTTTTTAAAATTAAGATCCCAATTTGAGCATGAATAAAAAGATTTAAGCCCTAAGATCTATCGTGATTCGCAGTTTTTCTCCTCAAATTAAAGTAGGATGAGGAGGAGAACTGCCAATTGGGATTGATCTTAGGGCTTACATCCCTTTATTCATGCTCAAATTAGAGCCTTAAGTTGAAAAGGACGAAAATGCCCTTAAAATTTTTAGATTTCGACATGTCTTGGATAGAGGGGTGATCGGCGTGATGAATTTTGGTACTAAAATAATAGTCGTGGATGAAAATTGGTACTAAAACAATAGTCGTGGGATGAAAATTGGTAGAAATTAAATATGTGGACCAAAACCGTCATTTTGCTAATACTCGTGGGACCAAAATTGGTATTTGCTCCAAAACAAAATAATATAATATACAAATTGTGAATTTTTAAAAGATAAATTATAAACATTTAATATGTAAATTGTGAACATTTGGATCCGAGTTCACAAAATAATTTGCGCCACATCGCGGCAACCCAAACCCGACATTGAAGCTTGTCAAACATATGCATCAAACATATTATTAAATGACATTTAATTGCAACACAGTAGACAAAATATTGTTACATTGAAATCGTTATTCTGATGACAGATGGTTGTATCTAACCAGTCTCAAATGAAATTAGTATAAATAACAGGACTAATATTTATTCTCCATACATGACTATGTATCAGTTATCTCATTTAAATATTTCATTATAATTTATTGATATAATTATTCTAAATATCTAGAGTTGATTAAACTTGTCAATTACAGTTTGTAATTCTGTTATTAGTAAATTAGGTGTCATTATAAGTAATACAATTTTAAAGCATTGTTAATTAAATGTTAAACTCATGATTCTAATATGACAAAAATATAATTTGTGTTATAATTCGGCCTATCAACTCGTTAGTTCTTGCGTGATGTTTGCACGGTAATGCTTGGAGATTGTATGTATATGTGTATATAGAATAGATAAAAGGGAGAGGAAGAACACAATGTATAGAACACAATCACATGAGACCATCTTTTCATTAAGCATTCACCCTCAATTTATAGGGATGATTACAATCTTTCACATCCTTTAACATAAGTAATGAAATAAGTAAAGGCTAACAAAAGGTCACAAGTTTAATGGCCATAATAATAAAATATTTATAACACTCCCCCTTGGCCATTAAATAACTATACTCATGCCTCGTTAAAAACCTCGCTAGAAAAACCCAGTGGGAAAAACCTAGACGAGGAAAAGAGTACACGAAGTATGTTAATCCATGTGTTGTACCGGTTGCCTCATTAAAAACCTTAGCCTAAGAAAACCCAGTGGGAAAAAACTTAGCCAAGGAAAAGAGTACAACCATAAGCCTTCTGGGCATAATCTTCAAGATTTTAAGGGTCTTCAGGACTATCCACTCAAGGGCACCAACATTGGTTGCCTCATTAAAAACCTTAGCTTAAGAAAACCCTGTGGGAAAAACTTAGCTAAGGAAAAAAGAGTACAACCATATGCTTTCGTAGCATAATCTTTAGGATATCAAAAGTCCTCTATATTGTCCATTCTAGCACAGCTAGGGGTTGTCGCTCCCCCTGAAGATAACAATCTTCTAAGCCTATGCATCCCAATTTTATAAACATATTATTCAAAAGTGGATGTAGGCAGAAACTTAGTGAACATATCTGCAAGATTGTTCAGTGGGGCAAACATTCTCAACAAGAATTTTACAACTCTTCTAGAGTTCATGTGTGTAGAAGGACTTAGGTGCAACATGTTTTGTAAGGTTCCCTTAACAAAACTATTACTTGCTTGTACAACACAATCTTATTTGTCCTCATATGGGACATTGGGGTAAAAGTATAACATAACCAGTTTTGGACTTGGCATCATAGGGATCAAATAAAATAGCCAATGCCCAAGTAGCCCATCAACACCACATAGGGGTTTCTCACATAAACGTCAAAAACTTTGTACCTCAAAGGTGCTGGAGGATATGTTAAATACCATTCCAATTTTCATTGTAGGGGGGAACACTAAATGTTGCTAGCAATTTCATCGCAAATTCAATATCAGGCCTGATGCGATTATGGAACTTCTAGTTCAATAATAGTGTTCCAATAGCAATAAAGTAATGGACTTCTAGTCCCTCAATATCCTCATTATCATCTTCGAGTCTAAATGGTCATTTATCTACTTCAAGAGATTATTGGACATTTGTTTGTGTGATAAGTAAATAATACTTATCCATATAAAACATCTTCATGACATTTTTCAAGTAGGCTAACTGGTGTATAAAACTTTTTCAAAGAGAAGCTCGATCTTCAGGTCGAGACAATACTTGGATTTCCAAGTCTTTTATTTCGAAACTCCGTCTTTCAGCATGAGCTGATATCACTAAGCTCTCTATGTGTTTCAATGATATTTAAATCATCATTACCGACTTGAGATAATAAACAAATAACTCCATTAGCAATTCTTTAATGAACACATAATGGTACATATTTGCATATTCCTTCTTCGGGAGAAAAGCACTCAGTCAATAATATTCAATTCATACAAAGACTTTAGTAGTTTAATTATACGCGTTGCCATTTTCACTTTCCTCATTTCAAAAGTGTTGAATCCATCAGGGATTTACAAATAAATATTAGCGTCTAATGACCGGTAAGTTTGCGGTCATGACACTCATCAACTGCATATCTAAATTTATAATTCATTGCCAATGATGTTAATTAGCGGAACGTAATGCCATCTGTTATGGGAGAGAGCATTTGATTAAAATCAATTTAGGGTCTCTGCGTAAACCCTTAAGCTACCAGTCTCGCTTTATATCATACCACCAGATTATTTGTATTTCTATTTTGTATAAACACCCATTTGTAACCTTCAGGGTTAACATTAAATGGTGTACATGTTATAAAGGGAATACAATTTTAGCGAGCTGAGCTGTATATGCCTTAATTGCTCCTTTATACATAAAAAATATCAAGGCACAACTGGTGCCTAGCTCTGGATCCAGATTCTCATATAACGAGAGCAATTTGTAAAGACAATTCTGTTGTTGACAACTATAACATTTTTCATAAATTTCTCCCATATATATAAAATAATGGCAATTTCTAATTCAACCAGACTCTAGACATTTTCCAAAGATATTTTTATCTGGTCATTCCGCATCCCCAGTATTATGATTTTGGGTGCACCTATAAATTTACTGGGTTTTTTTTTTCGCCTTCTGGACGAATGCCTTCAGGACATACTTCTTTAATCGATTTCAAGAGTGACACCATTTTCTACTAGATTTAGCTTTCCGCGGATTATACCAACATGTCCCCACGTTTCTGGCGTCA